AGTAACTCAAGCTGTGTGGAGAAATAAAGATCTCTAGTAAAGGTAAGTACGTTGGACCACATTTGTGATATTTTTGTATATAACTCCATTTTTACTTTTTGTTTTTGAGAAGGAGTCTTACTCTGTCACCCTGGCTGGAGTGCAGTGGCATGATCTCAGCTCACTGCAACCTCCACTTCCTGGTTCAAGCAATTCTCTTGCCTCAGCCTCCCACATAGCTGGAACTATAAGCATATGCCACCATGTCCAGCCAGTTTTTGTATTTATAGTAGAGACAGGGTTTCACCATGTTGGTCAGGATGGTTTCGGTCTCTTGACCTCGTAATCCACCCTCCTCAGCCTCCCAAAGTGCTGGGATTACAGGTGTAAGGCACTGCACCCAGCCTCCAGTTTTGACTTCTCACTGGATTTTTAAAAATCAGTAAAAATTGCCAGGCTTGGTGTCTGGCTCTGTCCCCCAGGCTGCAGTGCAGTTGCACAATCACGGCTCACTGCAGCTTTGAACTCCTGGGCTCAAGCAATCCTCTTGCCTTGGCCTCCCAAAGTGCTGGGAGTACAAGTGTGAGCTATCTTACCTGGCCTCAGGAGGAAATTTATAGCTGTAAATACCTACAAATAATTTTATATCTTGAGGAACTACCAAAAAAGAGGAAAGTAAACTAATCCTACAGAAGGAAAGAAATAAGAGGAGAAATATGTAAAATGGAGAATAGACGAGAATCTATTCAGTGAGAATCAATGAAACTAAAAGGTGTTTCTTTGCAAAGATCGATAACATTGACAAACTTAACTTAGATTGCCAAAAAAGACAGAAGATGCAAATAATTAGAATTAGAAATGACACTGGGGCATACTACAACAAACTTTTCAGAAATAAAGATTAGAAGAGGATACTATGAACAATTAATTGTACAACTTAGATAACCTAAATAAAGTGGACACATTCCTGGAAACACAGAAATTATCTTAACTGGATTAAAAAGTAATGAAAAATCTCAACAGATCTATAACAAGAAAAAATATTAAATCAGTATTTCAAAACTTTCCAACAATGAATTGTTAAGGACCAAAGAAGTGTCAATTCATGAATGAATTGTACCAAACATTTAAAGAATAATTAACATCAGTGTTTCTCAATATCCTCCAAAAAAGTAGAATAGGAGTCCGGGCACAGTGGCTCACGCCCGTAATCCCAGCATTTTGGGAGACAGAGGTGGGCAGATCACTTGAGGTCGAGAGTTCAAGACCAACACCAGAAACCTGTCTCTTCTAAAAATACAAGATTAACCCAGAGTGGTCACAGATGTCTGTTATCTTTGCTACTCAGGAGGCGGAGGCAGGAGAATCACTTGAGCCCGGGGTGGTAGAGATTGCATTGAGCCAAGGAGGCAGAGGTTGCAGTGAGTTGAGATCACGGCAACGAGAGTGAAGTCTCATCGCTAAAAATTAGAAAAAAAAAAAAAAAAAAAAAAAAAAAAAAAAAAAAGGGAGAGACCATCCTGGCCAACACGGTGAAATCCCATCTCTACTAAAAATACAAAAATTAGCTGGGTGTGGTGGTGCGAGCCTGTAGTGTCAACTACTCTGGAGGCTGAAGCAGGAGAATTGCTTTAACCTGGAAGGTGGAGGTTGCACTGAGACAAGATTACATCACTGCCCTCCAGCCTGGTGACAGAGTGAGACTCCATCTCAAGAAAAAAAAAAAAGTAGAACAGGAGAGAACACTTTCTTGTTTTTCTTTTATCTTTTTTTTTTTTTTTTTTTTTTGGAGACAGAGTCTCTGTCACTCAGGCTGAAGTGCAGTGGCATGATTTTGGCTCACTGCAACCTCTGCCTCCCGAGTTCAAGCGATGCTCCTGCCTCAGCCTCCCAGTAGCTGGGGTTACAGGCGTGTGCCACCAGAGCCAGCTAATTTTTTTTTATTTTTAGTAGAGATGTGGTTTCACCATGTTGGCCAGGCAGGTCTCAAACTCCTGACCTCAAGTGATCTGCCTGCCTTGGTCTTCCGAAGTGCTGGGATTACAGGCATGAGCCAGTGTGCCTGGCCGGAGAGAAAACTTTCTAAATCCATGAGGCCATCACTGCATTGATACTAAAGCCAAATAAAAAACAACTCTTGCTGGGAGAGGTGGCTCATGCCTGTAATCCTAGCACTTTGGGAGGCCCAGAGTGGGTAGATTGCTTAAATTTAGGAGTTTAAGAACAGCCTGGGCAACATGGTGAAATCCCGTCTCTGTGAAAAAAAAATACAAAAATTAGCTGGGCATGGTGGTGCACCTGTGGTCCCAGCTGCTTGAGAGGCTGAGGTGGGAGGATGGCTTGAGCCTGGGGTGGTAGAGACTTCATTGAGCCAAGATTGTGCCACTGCACTCTAGCCTGGGTGATGGGCTGAGATCCCATTCACAAGAAACCAAACCAAACCAAACAAAAAAACAAACAAACAAAAAAAACCCCTCAAGACAAAGAAATTAAAGACTGTCTTTTGTGAATACAAATGCAAAAATCCTTAAAAAATATTAGCAAATCATATCCAACAGCACATTAAAAGCACTATACACCATGACTAGTGAGATTTACCTCAGGAATGCAAGGTTGGTGCAACAAATGGAAATTTTAAAAAACGTAATTCTTCACATTACTAGTACAAAAGACAAAAACCCCACAGAATCACCTCAACTAATGCGGAAAAGGCATTTGATGAAACCCAACACTTTTCCATGATCGAAATTAAGAAAACTGGTTGGGTGCAGTGGCTCACATTTGTAATCCCAGCACTTTAGAAGGCTGAGGTGGGTGGATCACAAGGTCAGGAGTTTAAGACCAGACTGGCCAAGATGGTGAAACCTCATCTCTACTAAAAATACCAAAAAATTAGCTGAGCATGGTGATGGGTGTCTGTAATCCTAGCTACTCGGATAGGCTGAGGCACCAAAGTGCTTGAACCTGGGAGGCAGAGGTTGTGGTGAGCCAAGATTGCACCACTGTACTCCAGCCTGGGTGACAGAGCAAGACTCCATCTCAAAATATGTATATATATGTGAAAATCAGAAATAGAAGGGAGTTTATTCAATGAGACAAAGTGCATTTATGAAAAACACAGTTAACATCATACTCAATAGTGAATGTCTGAAAATTCTCCCTAAGACCAAGGAGAATCAAATGTTCGATTTGTTTATTGCTATTCAACATTCTACAGAAAATTCTAGCCAGAGCGATTAGACAAGAAAATGAACTAAAAGGTTTCCCAATTAGAAAAGAACAGCCGGGCGCGGTGGCTCAAGCCTGTAATCCCAGCACTTTGGGAGGCCGAGAGTTCGAGACCATCCTGGTCGACATGGTGAAACCCCATCTCTACTAAAAAAAAAATACAAAAAATCAGCTGGGCATGGTAGCGTGTGCCTGTAATCCCAGCTACTCAGGAGGCTGAGGTAGGAGAATTGCCTGAACCCAGGAGGCGGAGGTTGCGGTGAGCCGAGATCGCGCCATTGCACTCCAGCCTGGGTAACTCTGTCTCAAAAAAAAAAAAAAAAAAGAAAAAAAAAAAAAAAAGAAAAGAACAAATAAAACTGTATTTGTAGGTGATATTTGATATATAGAAAATTCTGAAGAATTTACAAGAAAACTAGTAGAGCTTGTAATAAATTCCATAAAGCTGCACACACAGTACAATAGCAGCAGATGAAAATTGGTTATCTATCTATAGGCCAGCAATGAACAATCAGAAAAGAAAACTGAGAATGTCATCCTTTTTATGAAAGCATCCAAATAAATTACATAGGAATAACTTTACCCCAAGTGGTAAAATATTTGTACACTGAAAATGTCAAAACATTACTGAAAGAATTTAAAGAAGATCTAAATAGAGAGATACTGACACATAGGGAGACTCAATATTATAAAGGTACCAATATAACCAGAAGAGTCAACTTAATCTCTACCACAAGTCCAACAGCCTTTTTTTTTTTTTTTTTTTTTTTTTTTTTTTTTTGGCACAAAATAAATGAAGAATGCTTGGTACCAGTAGTATTTCACAATGTAGTACGGGAGGTTTTTAATCATTTGGTAAGATCTGAGAGATAATAACACATAGTTAAAGAAAAAAAAAAAATACAATAAGGCCAGGCATGGTGTGTGGTGACTCACGCCTGTAATCCCACTTCGGGAGGGTAAGACGGGCAGGTCGCTTGAGCCCAGGAGTTCTAGACTAGCCTGCGCAACATGGTGAGACCCCCATCTCTACAAAATAATAGTAATAATAACAACAATAATACAAAAATTAGCCAGGCGTGGTGGTGCGCCCTACTCTGGAGGCTGGGATGGGAGGATGGCTTCAGCCTGGACAGGTCGAAACTGCAGTGAGCTGTGTTCCTGCCACTTCACTCCAGCCTGGGCAACAGAGCCAGATCCTGTCTCAAAAAAAAAAAAAAAGAAAGAAAGAAAAAAGAAAAAAATGCAATATTTACACAAAGTATCTGTACATTGAAAACGCAAAGGAATCAATGATTAGAGTTTAGCAAGGTCAAATAAAGAGAAAATAAAGTTCTAAAGACGTGATCGAATGGAGGAAGTAGGTCATTTCATGGATTGGCAGGTTTATCAACTGGAGAGAATCTTGAAAGGGGTTCAGGAACGTGGGGAACGTTTTTAATGTGCATCTTGAGGGGCAAGTCCCTCGACGGACGTTTCGCCCTTCTAGTCCACTCTGTCACCGAAGCCACCGGCTGGGTCTGGCCCCACCGTTAGCCCCGCCCCCGGAATGGGCCCCGCCCACAGGCCTGATTTAACACCCCCACCGTCTTTGAGCCCGTCTCTCTCTCTCTCCCACCCACGCACTGAGCCGACCCCTTGATACCCCCGCACCTACGCGGAGGAAAACTAGAATTATGCCGAAAGAATCCCATCCTAGCCAACTGCCCACGAAACAGTCGCAACCCTCCCCACGTCCAAAGCGGAAGTGACGTTAGCGGGGCGCCGCCCTCTTTTTTTTAGTCGCTGGCGCCTTTTTCTTTGTGTCCTGTGTTCAGTCACTGCTTGGGTGAGGTTTGTGTAGACTAGGGGGTTGGGCGGTGTTTCGGGGGCGGCAAAGGTCACGTTCGATCTCGGGCGATCGAGGAACCTCGTTAGAGATGTGCGGACCCCTCCATTCGCGCCCGCCGAAGCCGCGCAGCCATCGGGGGAGGCCAGGCCCGAGAGGCCACTGGGACCTTGGGTGCCCTAGAGGAGCCGGGCGGGAAGTGCAGCCTGGGCCCGCCCGAGGGATGTTTCCAGTCGCTGTGTTGCCGTCTTCAAAAGTCTCCAAGGGTTCTGAGGCCTTAGAAAATAAGTCTCCAAGGCAACCTTTGTGAATTGTTTTTCAGAGGGAAAAGAGTTTTGCCGTTAGCGTTCGGTTGACTCCGTCCCCAAGATCCTGCAGCCCCACGGACCTGGCGACTCCACCGCGTTCGGGTGAGCCTCGGGAGATAGATGGTTCAAGGGGGCAGCTGCTTCCTTTGTGACGCAAACGAGTGTTTTGTGGGAGATTTTGTCACGTGGCCTTTGCGAAACCTGTGTATTTTTTTGTTGGCACATTTCGTTGAGGTAGAAAGGTGCTTTCTTAGTTGTCTATGGTGTGCGTATTTCTGTATGTGCATATTAACGTTTGTAGACCGCGAGTCTTTTCTGCTAAAGAAAGCGAAGAATACTCAGCTATTCTTTTCATATGAAGTTCCTAGCTCTGGCCGGGTGCGGTGGTTTACGCCGGTAATCCCAGCACTTTGGGAGGCCGAGGCGGGTGGATCACTTGAGATCGGGAGTTCGAGACCAACCTTACCAATAGGGAGACACTCCGTCTCTACGAAAAATACAAAAAATTAACCGGGCATGGTGATGCATTCCTGTAATCCCAGCTACTCGGGAAGCTGAGGCAGGAGAATCGCTTGAACCCGTGGGCAGAGATTGCAGTGAACCGAGATCTCGCCATTGCACTATAGCCCGGGCAAAAAGAGCAAAACTCCATCTCAAAAACAAAACAAAACAAAAACAAAACCCACAAACACAAAAAGAAGTTCCTAGCGCCGTACATCTCCAAAGAGCTTCATAACCAGCCCTCCGGGAAGAAAGGATGGAGGGTTTATACACTAATACTAGAATAATCAAATTTACCAGGATGACTGTATTAAGTGTATTTTTCCCACATTTTCTTTCGAAAAAACTTAAACCTATGGGTATTTTGACCATCCAGTACGACGAATAAGTATCCATTGTAGATGCAGCTGTTTTTAGCATTTTCTCTATTTGTTCTCTCGTAAATAAATTTTATGGTGGACTATTTGAGAGTAAACGGGAACTAAATTGCAGAGATGAAGCTCGACGTTTAAGTAGTTCGTAATGCCTGACTCAATGATAAGAATGTTATCTTACTAAAACCATAGTACCATTTGCATCAAGAAAATGAAAATGTGCGACCCGCAGAGACCCTTCCCAAAGCAAATGAGAGCGAGGAGTTGTTAAGCCGAGTCCAGGTTTATTGGGGTTTGCGGGCAACTCGAGCGGGAGAGGGAAGAGCTGCACCCAGCAGCTGCCGGAGAGGGTTTTTATAGGGGCGGCGGCCTGTTTAGGCAAGGTGTTGTGAAGTGATTGGTGGCGGTTGGGCATGGGCGAAGGGGGAATATTGTGGAGTGCAGGGATTGGCTTAGCTTTGGCGGGCTAAGGTGGGAATACAGGTGAGGTGTTATGGAGTGATTGATGGAGGTTAAACAAAGAAGGAAGAGCCATGTGGCAAGAGGGGATGGGCTCCGGAGGCGGTCCGCTGGATGTGGGTCCCGGGCATGGGGAATGGGCCCTTTCTACCTAACAGAAAAATAATGTTATCTAATATTTACTCTGTATAATAAACGAAAATACTTCAAATTGTTCTGAAATATAACCGAGTGTTTTTGGATCTGAGATCTATTCAAGCTTTTTTTTTTTTTTCTCCCAAGACAGTCTTGCTGTCGCCCAGGCTGAAGTGCAGTGGCGCAATCTTGGCTCACTCTGCCTCCGGGGTTCAGGTGATTCTCCTGCCTCAGCGTCCTGAGTAGCTGGAATTACAGATGTGCGCCACCGCTCCCGGCGGCTGATTTTTTTGTATTAGTAGAGACAGGGTTCATTCACCATGTTGGGCAGACTGGTCCCTGACCTCGTCCTCCGCCTTCCTCAGCCTTCCAAAGTGCTGGGGTTACAGGCTTGAGTCACTGCGCCCGACCTCAGATTGTTTTTGAGACAGGGTGTTGGTCTGTCGTGCAGGCTGGAGTGCAATGGCAGGATCTCGGCTCACTGCAACCACCGCCTCCCACACCCAAGCAATTCTCCCGCCTTAATTGTCCGAGTAGCTGGGACTATAGGTGCATGCCACCAGTGCACGCCACGAGGTCTAGCCGATTTTTGTACTTTTTGTTTTTGTTTTTTTGAGACGGAGTTTCACTTTTGTTGCTCAGGCTAGAGTGCAATGGCGCGATCTTGGCTTACCGCAGCCTCCACCTCCCCAGTTCAAGCGATTCTCCTGCCTCAACCTCCTGAGTAGCTGGGGTTACAGGCATGCGGTAGCATGCGTGGCTAATTTTTTGTATTTTTAGTAGAGATAAGGTTTCTCCATGTTGGTCAGGCTGGTCTCAAGCTCCCGACCTCAGGTGATCCCGCCACCTCGGCCCCCTCAAAGTGCTGGGATGACTGGCCTGAGCCACTGCGCCTGGCCTGTACTTTGTATAGAGATGCAGTTTTGACATGTTGCCTAGGCTGGTCTCAGACCCCTGAGGTCAAGTGATCTCAAAGTGTGGGGATTACAAGCGTGAGCCAGTGTGCCCAGCGTATTCAAGCTTTTTGAATTGCACTTGTTATGTCTTCTTTTTTAACCTAGAGCCGTTGTTATTGTTTCTCTATTATGTTGGCTTTTTCAAAAGTCATACATTTTTTATTTTTATTTTATTTTATTTTATTTTTATTTTGAGACGGAGTTTCGCTCTTGTTACCCAGGCTGGAGTGCAATGGCGCGATCTCGGCTCACCGCAACCTCCACCTCCTGGGTTCAGGCAATTCTCCTGCCTCAGCCTCCTGAGTAGCTGGGATTACAGGCACGCGCCACCATGCCCAGCTAATTTTTTGTATTTTTAGTAGAGACGGGGTTTCACCGTGTTGACCAGGATGGTCTCGATCTCCTGAGCTCGTGATCCACCCGCCTCAGCCTCCCAAAGTGCTGGGATTACAGGCTTGAGCCACCGCACCCTGCTTCATTTTTTATTTTTTTTTGAGATGGAGTCTTGCTCTGTCACCCAGGCTGGAGTGCAGTGGTGCTATCTCGGCTTACGGCAACCTCCAGCTCCTGAGTTCAAGCTGTTTTCCTGCCTCAACCTCTGGAGTAGCTGGGATTACAGGCAAGTACCAAGCGTGGTCAGTTAATTTTTGTATTTTTAGTAGACACAGGGATTCACCATGTTGGTCAGGCTGGTCTCGAGCACCTGACCTCGTGATCTGCCTGCCTTGGCCTCCCAAAGTGCTGGGATTATAGGTGTGAGCCACCGCTCCCAGCTTTCTAATTAATTAATTAATTTTTTGAGACAGAGTTTTGCTCTTGTTGCCCAGGCTGGAGTGCAATGGCATGATCTCGGCTCACTGCAACCTCCACCTCCCAGGTTCAAGCAATTCTCCTGCCTCAGCCTCCCAAGTAGCTGGGATTACAGGCATGTACTACCACATCTGGCTAACTTTGTATTTTTATTAGAGACAGGATTTTTCCCTGTTTGTCAGGCTGGTCTTGAACTAGTGACCTCAGGTGATCTGCCTGCTTCACTCTCCCAAAGTGCTGGGATTACAGGCGTGAGCCACCGTGCTTTGCACAATTTTTATTTTAGAAAGCTGCACATTATGATATTTGTTTTCTTTCTTTCCTTTTTTATTTTTATTTTTTGAGACAGAGTCTAGGGTGTGTCACCAGGCTGAGGCTGGAGTATAGTGTCCCGATCACAATTCACTGCCACCTCAAACTCCTGGGCTCAAGCAATCCTGCTTCAGCCTTCTGAATAACTGGGACCACAGGTTTGAGCCACCATTCCCAGCTAATTTTTTAATTTTTTGTAGAAGTGAAGTCTTGCTATGTTGCCCAGGCCAGTCTTGAACTCCTGGGCTCAAGGGATCTGCCTGCCTTGGCCTCCCAAAGGAGTGAGCCACCATGCTAAGCTTGATATTTCCGAATGGATTTTTATTGAATCTTTAAATGTTTTCTCCATTTCTTGTGTTTCCTATAAACAGATAATTAGGTCCCGATCAGAGGGTGGAAAACTGGAAAGGGCTGAATAGCAAAACCTTTGCTTTGCTAGGTCTTTTTTTTTTTTAAATTATTTGTTTATATTTAAAATTTTTATGGGTATATGTATATATTTTTGCAGTACATGATATATTTTGATGCAGGCATGCATCTCTCCCCTCCTCCTTCCCTTTCCCTTTCTTCTCCTCTCCCCCTCTCTCCCTCCCTCTGCTCTCCGTCTCTCTTCCCCTTCTCCATCCCCTTCCCTTCCATCTTTTAATGGAACAGGATAAAATTTAACATGTTCCGTTAAAAGATAAATGCTTAAAGAATGCATCCCTGGCCTGGCACGGTGGCTCATGCCTGTAATCCCAGCACTTTTGGAGGCCAAGGCGGGCGGATGACGAGGTCAGGAATTCAAGACCATTCTGACCAACATGGCGAAATCTTGTCTGTACTAAAAACACAAAACTTAGTTGGATGTGGTGGCATGCACCTGTAATCTCAGCTACTCAGGAGGCTGAGGCAGGAGAATCACTTGAACCGGGGAGGCAGAGGTTGTGGTGAGCCGAGATTGCGCCACTGCACTCTAGCCTGGGTGACAGAGTGAGACTGTCTCAAAAACAAAAAAAGAAAGAATGCGGCCCTTTATTCCATAGCAGATAAAGATGGTGAATTTGGAGCTGAGATGGGTAAATTGGTAACTGTCATATTTCATGCTTTGTCTACTCAGCATCCACATGTGCCCATCTACATACACTTGAATTCTCTTATAATAATTAAGTCTGCATTTCTGCCTAACAAAATTGAAGGCAGGAATTTCTCACCCTCAAGTGAGAAGGTACACAGCCCCTCATCACAGGCCATATTAATTTCTTCTTTTTTTCACTTTATCCTCCACGCTGGAGTGAAGTGGTGCTATTTTGGCTCACTGCAACCTCTGCCAACCTCTGCCAACCTCCGCCTCCCAAGTTCAAGCAATTCTCCCGCCTCAGCTTCTTGAGTAGCTGGGTTTACAAGTGTGTACCACCACACCCAGCTAACTTTTGTATTTTAAGTAGAGACAGGGTTTCACTGTGTTGGCCAGGCTGGTCTCAAACTCCTGACCTCAGGTGATCCACCCACCTTGGCCTCCCAAAGTGCTGGGATTACAGTTGTGAACCACCATGCCCGAGGCCATATTAATTTT